TCCCTGGGTCGCCGTCCTGGCCCGCCGCGGAGAGGTTCTGCGGGCATTCGAGGCTTTACTGGGCGGCTGGAGGCCACGGGCCGCTGGTAGGACGGCGAGGACAAGGCCGATAACCAGGCGGGACTTCATGGTCCGGACTCCCCTCGCTTTCTTTCGGGAGGAGCTGCCCACGGTCATTTAGTGCGAAGCGGAGACGCACAGGACTCAAGAGGATTTGCAGGGACTGGTGGCGGGGAAGCTAACGGGGAGGGGCGGGGCCACAAGGAGAGGTGGAGCTCCTTTCTAGACGTGACCTGCAGGCGGGGCTCCTCTTGGGGCGTGGCCTTGTGAAGGGGCGGGACTTTGGCGGGCAGGCTTCCCTAGGAGGTCCCGGTCCAGCGCCCGGGACTCCTGACTCCTAGAGGGGTCAGCCGCATTGCAGCAGCGGTGACCGTCAACCCCCCCAGAGCTGGAGGTGCAGCGCTCAGCCACTGCCGTCCTCCAGCAGACTTGTGAGCTGCAGGAACAAAGCTGTGCGTCCTCTGAGGCAGAGGCCCCACTACCACCTCCGTTGTGCCTGGGCGCGCTTGGATTCTGGAGTCAGCCTGTGAGATGGGCAGATGGTGTGTTGCATGGTCCTGGGCAGGATGTTATCGTGAGAGCTGCCCCTTCCCTGTCTGTAGCTGTCGTGGAGGCTGGAGCCACGGAGGTGGCAGCCTGCATTTCCAGTGAGGCAGCGCGTGTAGTGTCTGGCCTGCTAGCCCTGCAGTACATTCTCACCAACTACTGCTGTACCTGGGCCAGGTACAAGAGCGCGTCACAGCCCTAAGCCAACGTGGATACTGGTGGGCTGGCAGTACCTCCAAGATCCCGGTCAGGGTGGGGTGGATGGCTGGTGACCTTGGGCCCCTCAAACTCCGTGGGTCCCTCCCACCAGTGCCTCAGGGCCATGGACTTCTCACCTTGTGGAAACAGCACTGTGGAGTTGGGCCGTGCAGCAGAAGCTGTGCCTGGACCTGCTGTCTGACCTTGGCACTGGCATGGTCTCACACAAGGATGCAAGGCAGGCCAAAAGGCACAGACCAAATGAACTTGGCTGTGGCCTAAAGCCTGTCTGCTCATCTGTCATGAGACATCAGAGTACAGGCTTCTAGACATTAAACTGGCTGAATAAGAGGCTAAGTACCCTCAGAGCTCAGGCAAAGCTTGCTAAACTCAGCCTGACTGAAGACCCAGTCCCTCCCCTCGTGCTCTAGGTCCTACATAGCGGTGTGAAATAATTCTAGCACCTCTTGACAGGTACGCAGGGGCAGGTGGGAAGGAAGCCCAGGCGCTCATGGGTGAGAGCATCCCTTGCGGTCTGTTAGCAGGATGGGAGTAGACAAGCCTCCAGAGCCCCAGGATAACTACCTAATGCAGTGTAAAATATTTATTCATTCTCCAAAAAGGCTCAGACTGCAAGTCCTGGAGTGGAATGGGTGGAATTGGGTCTCCTCTGGGACCACCCTTGGGGGCCTCCCCCCAGGCCTGGGAGGGGGCAGCCAGGGCTGAAGTGAGGCTCAGCCTCAGCTGGTGGACTACAGGGCCCACCTGCCCCCGCGGGGAGTAGCAGCCCTGAGATGTCCACTCACGGAGGGCAGGTGTGGAGACCTGCCTGGTGGCTGGACACCACATGCCCCTCTGGCTCTGGGGAGCAGCAGGTCAGGGCGGTGGGGGGATGTGGGCACCCAGCAGGTCATAGGCGAAGACGTTCCAGAAGATAGCGAAGAGCAGGAAGGTGCCATAGGCCAGCAGCACCACCCACCAGCCACACTGGTCCTGCAGGCGTTCCTCGTAGCTGCGCAGGATGGTGAGGCCCATGCTCACCCCCACCACTGCACCTGCCAGGTGCGCCATGAAGCTGGGCTGTGGACCTGAGGCAGGCAGTGGTGGGGAGAAGCGCAGCCACACAGCCCGGCCCACCTCGGAGCTCACTGCAGAGGGAGCAACAGGTGGGAGGTGCCCATCTGCAGGCTGAGGGCCCCCAGCCCCCACCCGGCCCCCTACTCACTGCACACCAGGGCCAACACCATCCTCAGCAGCTTGTAGGGACACCTCATCCCAGCCCAGTTCTGAGGGGGGCATGCAGACAGAGAGGCCGTGAGGCGGGCCAGGTAAGGCCCTTCCCACACCCCTGCCAGGCGGCCCAGTTACCATGACAACGTTGGCCAAATGTGCTGAGCACAGGGCATAGACCCCGCCAGAGCCCCCCACTACAGGGGCACGCATGTCGGTGATGGAGACAGTCAGGGAGCCTGCATAAGCAGAGGCAGGGGTGAGGGCGCAGCCAGCCAGTAAAGTGGGCAGGGGCCCATGCCCGCCTCACCTGCCAGCACGCCTGCCAGGTAGAGCAGGCTGATGCGGAGTAGGCCATGCACCATCTCCAGGGGCACCCCAATCATCAGCTGCAGGAGAGCATTGAACCCCAGCTGCTCCAGCCTGGCCGGCCATATGGGGGCAAATAAGCAAGAGGGGTGGGGTCAGCAGTGCGGCCTGCACCCAGCCCCCTACTCACGCTTCCTCTCCCCTAGGCTGAGCCTTCCTGATAAAAGGACGGTGCTGGAAGGCTCACCGGCTGGCTCCCCACTCACCCAACGTGCATGAACATGTAGGTGAGGAAGCGCCACGCGCGGGCACGGTGCCAAGGGTGGTATACAAGGGGGCTCTTCATGTACTCAGGGTGATAGGTCTGCAGCACCCACTTGTTGAGGCGGGCCCCATAACACAGGAACACAACAATCTGCAAACAGCACAGTGCATCAGGGCCAGGGACTGTCGAGGCTCCCCGGGTGCTGGGTGGGCAGCCCACCTGGGCAAGAGTGACTGAGGCCATGAACACGGGGGGTGGGCAGCTGCGGTGTCTGTAGAAGTACCAGCGACGGTCCACCTCACAGGGCAGGATCTCATAGGCCACATAGCGCACAAACCGCTTGTAGACACCCAGCCCTGGCTCATCCAGCAGCCCGTCTCGGGGCAGCGCCCGCTGTCCATTAGCGATGGCCCTCTTGAAGCTACTGGAGCGCTTGCTGCTGATCTGGGGGGTAGGGGCCTGAATGTGGGCTACAGTATCGCCTCTAGGGAACCCCTGCCCTTGTGGGTTGGAGACCCTGCCCATACCCATGAGGAGAGAGCAGGAGAGGCCACCCTCCCACCCTGCTTCGGCCAGGGTGCTATGTCTGCCCAGGCGTGGGCCCCGCCCCTAATGCCCATCCACCACGCACTGACCAGGTCCACCAGCTCCTGGTAGCAGATCTGGCCCCGCTCGTTGCTCTGGGCCAGGGCCACCAGCATGTCCAGCTTGGCTGGGTCCAGGGGCAGCTCATGGCTGTGCACCAGACCAGCGAAGGTGTCTGCGCCAATGAAGCCTGTGTTCTCAGGGTCCAGCTGCTGCGGTGGAGGAGCCGCAGGCCAGGGGCTGAGGGGTGGCTGGGATCTGCAGGCTGGCTCCTGGGACCCTGGCTGGTCACAGGTCCTAGGCCTGCGGCACCTGAGCTCCCGAGGGTATCTCACACCCTACCTCAGGTCCCACCCGCTAGTCCTTAGAAGAGCCGCTCCTCAGAGAACGCCCACCCTTCCACCCCGCTTTCCTCCAAGGCCGGCCAAGGCCGAGGTCGTGTTGCAAAGGGACTTAGGCACCGGGGCCGCCCCATGCCCGGTCCTCCACCCCCCACACCCCCGGCCCCGGAACGGAAAGAAGCCGGTTGGCGCGGCCCCCACACCCACGCACCTGCTCCTGAATGAGCTGCAGCAGAGAGCTCCTGTCCATAGAGCCGAGCCGGGGGCCGGGGTCGGCCGAGGG